GAATTTGTGCTCCCTGAATAGCAATTCTTTGATCCCAGATAAACACTTTGCCTCTTAGACTGGTTTCTGTTTTTGTGGGTTGACAGTACATTACTAGTAACTAAACTCCAGAATTTAGTTACATTTCACTCATTTTAACACAGTCGTTTTTCTCTTTCAGGACCCAATCCAAGAAATTACATTATATTGAGTCATCTTTTCTCCCAATCTCTTCTGCTCTTAACATTTTCTCGGTATTTCCATGTTTTTCACTACAGGTTTGAGGAATACTGGGTTGACACATTTAAGAATGTCCCTAAAGTTAAATTTCTCTGATGTTTTTCTCATGGATAGACTGGTTGATAGATTTTTGAGAGGAATATTGCATCTAACTACAGCATATACTGTCAGATGTTTACCACAATTAACTTATCTCGGGTGATGTTAATCTTGATCAGTTAGTTAAGAGAGTGCTCACCAAAGAGTCTTCTCCACTCTAAAGATACTGTGCTGTGTGGTGTGTGTCTGGGGTGGAGAACAAGTGTTGAATTCAGCTCCACCAACTGGAGGGCTAAGTAGCCATATACATTATTTACCAGTCTTCTGTGTGAAAGCTGTGTCTCTTCTCCCTCCTTTACTTGTTGATTCAATTGTGTATTCATATTAGCATAAACTCATTTACACTTATTTCATACTTTCTGTTATAATTCTATGCTATGCAACGTATTTTGTTGCTTAAATTGTTCCTGCTTTAGTCACTGGGAGCTGCAGTATAGTAAAAAGAATATATATCTGGTCTTTGTCCCAGGTTCTTGGTACAGAGCTTCAAAAACCCTTGGAATTTCCTGAATGATAGGAGTGTCTTTGTTATGCTAATGAAGTAACTGAAATGTGTGTGTGTCCATTTGTGTGTGTGTGTTTGTGTGTGTGCTTACAGGGGACTGGACACCAGAAAGACCAACCACATGATTGGTTTGGAACAGTCAGCGACCAAAAGTTCGGGGAGGGGAAGGAAGCTGGGGATTAAGCTCAATCACATGGCCAGTGATTTCATCAATCATGCCTAGGTCACAAAACCCTGACTAAAATATCTGGAGAGAGAAGCTCCAGGGAGAGTCCTAGTGGGCAACAGAAGCTACTGTGCTGGGGACCCTCCCAGATCTTGCTCCACGTATCCCTTGATCTGGCTGTTTCTCGGTAACCTTTATAGTGAAATGATGTCAAATGTCAAAACCAAAACAAGTATTAACCAGTTTGATGTCCTTCCTTCCGGGGAAAACAACCCATGAGTTGGGGGAGTGTAGTGTCTCACAAGCAGTGGACACACTTCTGAGGGATTTGGGGAAAGAGGGAGTTTTATAGAGCGTTAGAAGGGGCAACTGGCAAACAGGGCATGAGTGGCTAGGAGGTCTGGGGTTTCCTTACAAGGCAAGCGGGTCCTGTTTTCTAGGCTGAGGTAAGCCTAGCCTAGGTTAGCCTGGCTAACGTTGAATTGGAGGACTGTGATTGGTGTATGTTAGGTTTCCTTGACAGGTGCTTCCCATAAGTGCAGGCTGAGCTGGGTTTAGATTTGTGAGCTGGCTGGGCCACTGGGGCTGCCTGCATTTGTGGATTCGCGTAGAGGAGTTAACCTTATCAATGATCGCCACAGGTATAGCACTTTCCTGAGTTCTGCGAGTCGTCCTAGTGAAAATGGAATCACCGCGGACATTTAGAAGCCTTACATTTGTATTTGGCTGGCAGAAGTGTGGGGGTTTGGGAATGCCTGAGACTCCTGACTGGTTCTGAAGTGGGGCAGTTCTGGGAAGGACTTCGCCCTTCACTTGTGGGGTCTGTACTAACGCCAGATCATGTCAGAGTTGCATTGAATTGTGGGACACTCTGTTGGTGTCAGAGAAGTAGTGAGAGAACACCGGAGCTTTTTCAGATCGGCTGCTGAGTTCCTTTGATATGGCCCCTATCTTCTGTGTTTGGAGCACTTCCTTGCTGTGTTTGCCACTACAAGAGCCTCCTGGCTCATCTTATCTCTTCCCTACTCCTGCCTAAGAATCAGCCATTTCTCCAAGGAGCCTTTTATCAGAGGGTGGTATTAGAAACCCGGATGTAGGTGCTGTGGGTTCTCATCAATATTTGGGTATCATGCCTATTAGCCCCTCTAAGCAGACAGACCTTGGGAATATCTGTTGACATACATTTTCTCTGGATCTGTGTGTCTACTGACCTATCTACAGCTAGCTCTGTGTTCATACTGATGTTCCTGACTCTACTCCAGTGCCATGGGGTCCAATTTAGCTTTTCCCCCTCGATTTTCTGTCCCTGTCTCTATCGTTAAGTATTAGGGCATTCCGTGTCTTTGAATTGCCTTGCATCTCTTCTTCCATGACTCTGTGCCCTCTGCACACTACCTATCACATCTCTTCGCTCTGCCCTCATTGTGCCCTGCTCTCTCACACACCTGCAACCTTCCAACTTTGCCAGCCACTGTGTACCTTCACCAAAAAGTCAAGCACTTTGAAATATTGAACTTGGTAAATATCATCTTTGTGGGTTGTTGCCGGGTGTAGTAAAAAGGGTGGAAAGTGCCCCCTCCCCCCGTTTTTAGGCATCCAAGGTCAGGAGATGCCTGTGTTCTTCCATATACGAGCACATGGAGATCCACTTGGGCATGATGACTGTGTGAATGTGATTATACAAATGGGAATGTGTGAGTATGGGTGAGTGTGTGTAAATGTGAGTATGTGCTTGTCTTTGATGAGTGTATGGGCAAGTGTGAGTTTGCTAAGGAAAGTGTATTTGAGGGCAAGTGTGAGTTTGCTAAGGAAAGTGTATTCGAGCATGCGGGTAAGTGTGTGAGGGCATATGGCTGTGTATTTGAGTGTGTGCTCTGAATACACATGTGTTTGCATCTACGTGTAAATGTTTGTGTGTTGGTGTGTGTGTTTGTGCAGTGTGGATTGTCCACCATTATGGCTCTAATCCCTGACTTGGATGTGGGTAGTACTAGCCAGTGGACATGGATCCCATTGTATATTTGTGTTTAGAAAAAAACAAACGATTTATTTCAAATCTTATTTTGTTTCTTCATTAATTACAAAAGCAATGAGAGCTGGTTGCTGAAAATTCAGCCCAAAATAGGTGTAGAAAAATATGGTGAATATCCATTACTATTTAAATGAGTAAGCAGCATTGGCTTATCTGAGAGTTAAAGGAATTGTAGAATCTGTCCATTTAACCATCTGATGCTGGTGGTTTTATTTGTGAGGGACTCATAAACTTCTCCCTTTCTGTAGTTATTGTTCTGCTTAGAACACGTCAGTGTTTAGAACACTGAAAATGATATCTAGCCTCTCAATAGATTTTTTTAGTGTATGATACATTAATGACTTTAGGTACAACCTCGTACAAGAGAGCTCTGAAGCTTGCTTCAATAAAATCTTATCCTCTTTTTTTCTCTTTTTGACAGTTTTCTTGCCTATCCTTATTTGTATTTTCACTTAATGGATTTTTTTTTCAATAACATGCCTAGTCCAAAAGCTAATTGATGGAACTCTCTGGTTTGTGACCAAATTAAATCTAACTTAGCTTAGGGACAATTGATGTTTTGATAATCTTGAGTTTTTCTACCCACGAACATGATGTGATTTTATATTTGTTTATGTCTGCCTACATATATTTCAGAAATTTTGTATGATCTTTCTCATATATGCTTGATACATTTTTTTAGATTTATTGTTAGGTATTTTATATTGTCATTTTGAAATTGCATCCCTGATCTCCAGATGTGGCTTGCATATCGTAATTTTTGTACATATGTAGAAAATGTTTAGTATGTTTTGAAGCCATGTCATGGGTTCAAATTGATTTGGACTACAACATCATTGAATTGGCAACCTTCACTGGAATGCTAAACTGCAATCCTCTACTTACAACAAGAGCTGTGAGGTGTAGAAGAGTCAAGGTGGACATGAAATGGACTTGGAAAGAAAACAGCCTCCTAACAGACAAATTTAATGAAACAAATTCAATATGGGTGCATATGTTTAATTATCGAAAATATACAATATCTGAAAAACATTAGTATTTATTTCATCACTATGTAATACGGAAAGTATAAGACAAAAGATAAAACATGCCAAAAGTTAAATGTAATTTTTCTTACATGAAATGAGATACATTCATCTGAGGAAAATGGCATGATCTCAGTGTAAAATGCAAACAGAAAACTATATACAATAAAAAAAAACAATATGCAGATAATTGACAATATCTATACTAGGTTTAATATCGTCTAGTAAAAAAAGGTTATATTGAAATTTATAGCATAGAAGAAATTTTAAAATTCAGCATATAATATGAGCCAGCTGAAGAATAAATACATGCGGTCAATAAGATTTAACATATCCTGTCTCGGGTTTTCTATAAAGTAAAAAGCACATAAAAGTGACATGGTGACTTCACCATGAGTTCATGAAACTGACAAATAGACACATTTCACCATAGAGAAGGCTATTGAAGGCTTGTCAATATCAGTACTCCACAGATGGCGGGGAAGACAGGGAAGAGCTACAGCCTTTCAGAATTGAAGGGAGGAGGGGACATAAATCTATGCTGACTTTGCTACACTTTAAAATATACAAACACATGGGAATTACAATCTGATATTTGTTCTCATTATAAAATAATGCTCGACTGTCCTAACATATTCAGAATACATACAATGTCTAACATGGAACTTAAATTTTGTGATCCTAGTCCTCAAGGAAACCCAGAGTTCACCATTCTGAGTCTATTTTTCAAGTTTCTTTTCTATGACCACCCAAGTTCTACTTTTTATGAACACACTGTGTCTGAACTAGGTCCTGCTGGTCATCTGGAAGAGTCCCAGGAGTAGCAGGGCTTTGTCCTCACTCCCAGAGATGCATCTTCTGTAGAATAGTCAGTTCCCTTCACTGAAGCCTAATCGGGTCCTCTGACAGCCTCAGCTGTCTCCTCTCGGGGGAAGAGGGGCACCACTCTCCCCCCTAGGAGGAGCTCCGGGCTTCTCCTCCATTCTCAGCTGGACCCTGGGGTCCTGGGAGTGGGGCTGGGAGCAGTCAGCCCTTAGCAGGTAAGACATAGGCCGCCTGGGTGGCCATGGCGTAGAAGGTCTGCTCCAGGTCGGACAGAGGACCCCGGAGACTGGCGAGCTGGGCGAGCTGGGCGAGCTGCTCCCAGGGCAGCGGCGAATGCACCTGCTGGATCTGCGCCTGAACTACGTCCTGATAAATGGCCTCAGATATGGTGCGCAGGGAGGTCACCAGGGTTCTCCGAAGTGGAGGCGGCTGGTCTCCTGGAGACCTGGATCTGGGCCGCTTGCTGCGCCCAGTGCTCCTCCTCCGGGGTCTCCTGGGGCAGGCATCCTGGGTCTTTTCACGTTCACTGCTGTGGCCTGCGTCGGGGACCTTCGGTTTGTTTTTACCCAAAATCATATTGCGCTCATTTGGAGAAGCCCCTGCACAGGAAGTAAGCGGGTGAGAGACTTGCCAGATCAATTCCCATGAACCGCCATGGCGGGGATCCCACCATGCGCGTTCCGCCTTCCCGTGAACCCCACCTAGCTCCTGCTCCTTCCCGCCCCCTCATCTCTAGCCTGAGGCAGTGCCACGCCCGCCCTGCGTCCCCCAATGCTCCCTGGATCCCAGAGTCTCCAAACCCGCTTCAGCCACTGAACGACCCCTTTCGTGCCCACGCACTGGATAGGTACCTGCTTTTCTGTCCGTACCCTTCCGGACCACCATGGAAGATCCTACTTGTGTTGCGGGCGCTGTCCACGGAACCCATTTTCCTCTTCCTTGAGCTCTCCTGATGGGAGCAGCCTTCTGATTCTGTGGATGAAGTCAGAGTTTGAGTGACTTCCTGCAACCGGAGACCCTGGAAACCTAGTCCGAACTGGACGTGCAAGGAACCAAGGTTACAACCCAAACTGCCAGCAGTGCCTGGAGTCCAGGATCTGCAAGGCCTGGCTTTGAAAGCGCACCCAGGTCTCTTCTCAGGGAGACTGAGTTGCTCCATGTCCTGTCTCTCCTCCCCAGAAGAATCACATCTTACCTGATGGAGCAATGCAGTTGTTTCTGCCTTTGAGCTCAGTTTCCTTGGAGTTCTCCTCATCTGTCTTGGGCTCAAGACCTTGGAGAAAAAGAAGGAGTTTAGGCGACCAGCCTCCTTCGAGGCAAAAGAACCCCCTAGTCCATCCTTGACCCATATTTGTTGGCAGTTCTCTCCACTGCGGCTGTTTGGTCAGAATGCAGTGTGAACTGGAGTAACATGGTTCCAGAGTATCGTAGTTACATTTCTCAAAGCCCTCCTGAAGGCTAGGTGACGTTTCCTGTCATCAATCTCATACTAAAACCCAACCAAACACACAAAAGTAGGTATCCCTGATCCCACCCCTACTTGCAGCCTCCATACTGACAGCCCAAGGCCCTACCTTGCCTTTGGGTGCAGCTATCTCTTAACTGAGAAGGGAATGTCTTGCCTTTTTCTTGGAATGATTCCTCCTCCACATCTGAGCCCCTTTCTTTAAGGGAGTTGTGTTGGAAAGTGGGCTGGTCAGTGGGGCATGGGATAGAGGGGCTATGGAGGCTTTGGTCTTCAGTTGCTGTTTCCATTTGGAAGCCGAAACGAAAGACGCTCTTTCCAACCGTCCAGAGTCAGAAGTGAAGGTTGGCCTGATGGACCTGCCTTTGATTCTTTCCTCGGCAGGGCGTGGCTCGCTCCTATTGGCTGAAAATATCCCACTTTCTGGCCACTCATCAGAACCTCAGCTGAGCTCAGATTAGGAACGTTGCTGGTTGTAGCTGTCCTGGGGAACCCCACACAGATTAGGAAACACTTTTCCACAGTCCTTTCACGATGTCAAAAAGCAAAGTAGGGGACGGAGGGACTGGAAGAGAGGGAACTCCTCGATATCTTAGTTCTGTCCTAGTTCCCACCCAACACTGTTGAAGATCTTGGCTAAATTTGTGCTGCTGCTTCCACCGTGAAGTGAGAAGTGAAGAGTGCCCCCGGGTGCAGGGGTTACGCAGGCTCATCGGAGGGTTTCTTCCACAGCCATGGAATACATCTCTTTTCAACATTCTTCTCTCTGATAATTTCATTTTCTATAAGTCACATGAAAATTGAACTTTAAAAAATGTGTTTACCAGAAGTTTTATGCAAACTGATATTTCCCTCTCCTGTTCCGACTCTTAGCAAAAGAGTGAAGAAACTCTGCCCTGCATCAGTAAGGTTTGGATTTCACTGTAGGAAAATTTACAAGTCAGTTTTAGCTATGAATATGTCTGACAAATATCATATCTTTGTATAAAAGTGAAGCCAGCAATGAAACAAAAATAATTAATTGTAAACATAGTTTCCCACTAATGATTTATTTTCCTTAAAGCTTTCATTATGGACATTTTAAACATTCACAGGATTAAGGAAAATAAAGTGAATCTCTGTTTACCCACTTCAAAATGTGCCAATGTTTTGCCAATCTTTTGTCATCCATTCCAAAGTTCTCCTTTCCAGTGGGGGTTGAGTGGGAAATGGAGCTGGAGTACTTTAATGCAAATCCTAGAATTATGTATTTCTCTAGTAAATAAGTTATGATCCATAAAATTCATCTCTAATAAATAATTCTTCAAGGATATAAATGAGAATAAGAAGACCCCCAGGCTATTTTAACCCAAAATTAGTCTTATAATTTCTTAAGGTCGTCTAATATCCAGTTCATATTCACATTCTCCCATTGTACTCCAACACATTTTGTTTTCTTTTCTTCTTCTTCTTTTTCTTTTTTATTTTTTTGTCTTTTTATTGCGGTAACATTTGTTTATAATGTGGTGTACATTTCAGGTGTACATCATTATACTTCTATTTCTGCATGGATTACATCATGTTCTCATGTTCACCACCCAAATACTAATTACAATCCATCACCACACATATGTGCCTAATTATCCCTTTTGCCCTCTTCCCCACCACATTCTCCTCTGGTAACCATCAATTTTTTTATTTTTGTTTTTTTGAACCAAGATCTAAACAAAATTTCTACATTACTATTACTTATTATGACATTAAAACCGATACATTCTGTCTGTAAATATAATTTAAAACCAGTTACAAAATGGAAGTGTATACTTGCATTTCCCATCATTCATAAAGAAGCAGTATCTAGAATATATAAAAATTAATTTCTACTGATTCAAAACAAAAGAGAGACAAACCAAAGTAAGTTGAAAAAAAATTGAAAACAGAATTCTCACGTTAGCAAACTCATGATGAATATTATGTTACATTACATACACCGTTGTTAATAATAAAACAAATGCAAATTAGAACACACCACGATTTCACATTCAAGCGAGCAGTAAAATTTCAGGCATTACACAGTGTATCAATGATGTGGGAACCGGAGACTGTCCTCCGCAGGTACTGTGGGTAATACTGTCTTAACCCCTTCAGGGGACAATGTGGTCCCATGAAATAAACACAAAAATGCATGTAAAGGATGATCCAGAAATTCATTTCCTCACTTTATGTTCATGGAAACAAGGAGATTGCCTAAGTATATTCATGGCAGTGTTGATAATGGAAGGAAAATATTGGAAACAACATAAATGTGCATCAATAGTCTAGGGGATTAAACTCAAAAAGTCCACTCCACTGACACAAAGAAATAACACACAGTGGTGAAACTGAATAAACTAGAGGTACATGTGTAACAAGGAGATTTTTTAGAAACAATTGAGAGAGGTCATGATACAGAATTAGACAGTATATTGACATGTGTATAAGTATTTTGCACTTGAAGAAAATAATATATAGTGTTAAAAGTGTATACATACATGTTAAAATTTCTTAAATGCTTGGAAATGAGAATGATGAAATTATAGTCGTTTATATCAGATAGATACATGTGAGGTAAAATAAGAATGCAGAGGAAAAGTAAACAGGAAATCAATAGCCCTTTGTATTTGGGAGTGGGGAAGATAATTATATCAGATTCGATTGCGTTGAGCTGATTAGTTTCGCACCAGTGCTTGAGCAGGGCTTCGTGAGGCAGTAAAAAAGCAAGCATGAGAGGGAAACTGCCGCTTTTTCTCACCCTTCCTCAATTATCTTGGAAGTCCCAATATTTCCCACGGAATTTGCTCAGCATCCACAATGTGAGCTGAGAAGGACAGCTGGATCATTATCATCCTCAGACCCTTTGATCCTTTCTCCAGGTGTCCGTATTTAAAATGAGTGGTGGATATGACTCTTGAATCATGAATTTCCAGATACTTAACTGGCCACATGTCTGTGCCCCCTCCTGAAAAACCGATACCCAAATCCAAAAATGTGTCCTAATGTCAACCTTTGAAAGCTGCCTGTAATTGATGCTGACTCATTGATCACCTTCCTCTTCAACCCACAGATAATGAGCAAGAAATGTCAGTCCGTTGGACACATAGTGAGGACCCGGAGGTGTCCTGTAAAGTATAGGGGTGGGGCTCTTGTCCCCCAGCCTTTGGGTTCTATAAGGAAAAGGAGAGCCTGTAGCTAAGGAACGCCCAGAAACTCCAGATCCCAGGATCTTTTAGCAAGAGTGCCAGAGAGAAGGAAAGAGGCAAAGGTGAGCAATCTGGGTGGTTGAAACCAACATTTGAACTAGAATCCAGGGATATTGGACACGGGAATTCTAATGTCTTTTTTTCCTTCTGTGTGCACAGCCATCTCCAAGGTCAGAGGGAGAAATTCAGCAGAAGTATACAAAGAGCTCAATATCTTCCAGGGTTCCTCACTCAGGAGAGCAAAATAATATATCATGTTTAAAATATATATATATATGTTACATATGATTATATATATAATTTTTAACATATAATATTGTTAAAAATATATATGTTTTTTCTATATAAAATATATATATATGTTAAAATTTCTTAAATGCTTGGAGAAGAGAAACATTCACTCATTGTAGTCCTAGAGGGTCATTTCAGGGAGTCCTGGGGGTACAGGGATGTCTTGAAACTGCATATGGCAGACAGAAGAGCAAAAGAGTCTAAACGAAAGTACATCATCTCTCGAGTGTACCTCGAGAAACCATGGGGGGCTGCCTGGAGTTGTGGGCTGGATCTGACATGAGGGAAGAAGAATACTTGGCAAAGCTCAAGGGACCTTCAATGCCTCGCTCACACCAAAACAGGAGTAAGGGTTGTGCCCTTGTTTCCCAGTCCCCAGGGAGGGGCAGGAGTGGAGGCAGGTCCAGACACCTAACATGATTTCTTCTGTAAGCAAGAAGAGGTACAGAGGAAGATTCTACTCCTGAAGATTCATTCCCAGGAGACTCCAAGAGAGGCAACAGCAGAATTGGAAGGAAATGACAGAATCTGGTGACTCTGAGGGTGTTTCCCACCCTGGGTCTTTGCTCTGTTGCTCTTCACAAGTCTCCTTATTTGCTTTGCTCTGTGTCTCTCATGTGGGGGGATTATCTTAAAAGTGCTGGTGACCAATGGGATTTCTGAGATACGTGTATTTTTCTTTCTATTTTTGCTATTATTTACATGTCCACCAGCAACAGCTGTGGGGGCATTTCTGTGCACATGTCCAAGTGTCTTCCAGGAGGCAGAAACTTATACACAAGAATATGCATCTTCCAACTTTTGATAAAGATTCCCTAATTGTCTTTCAAAAAGACATTAGCCCTTTATATCCTCTGCAAGCACGTATGAAATGGTGTGTGTCTACTCCTCTTAAAGAGAGACAATATTAGTAAACGTTTAATTTAACAAACTGAGGGTCACAGAACAAACATATGCTATTATATAACTTATTTTTTTCTGACCACCATTGAGCATGGATGCTTCTTTATATGTGAAATGTCCATTTCTTTTTTTTTACTGTGAGATATTTTCATAGGCTCTATGTCATTTTTTATTGAGTTCTCTTTTTACTCTTCATTGAGAGTCAAACACATTTTATTCGAATGGTGTTTCTCACACAGCATCGTACCAGGCTGATGACCATCCATACGTCCAAGAATAGATCAGTCCTGGATCTGTTCTCACAAGCCATCCACCTGTCAAGAAACCTGAGATGAGATCCATCTACCTGGTGCAGCTTTCCATCCAAAGACTCGAACTGAGTTCCCTCTTACCTCATGGACCAGCCTAAGGATGGGAAGTGGACTTCCCCACGGGCCCCATGCTCCACCCAAGCACTTTGTCGAGGACCCCAGTCTCATTGCCATGCTGGCAGTCACAATATGCACAAGGTCTGCAGTGCCTGGCAGGAATATCCCAATGAAGAGAAACAGAGAGAGGCAAAACAGTTGGCAGCTCCCACAATATGGAAGGGATTCTAACATATCAAGCAAGCAGTGTGAGGGTGATAAGTCTTTCTCTCTCCCTCAGTTTTATTGAGATAAAATGAAAATATAATATGATATAAGTTTAAGATATACAAAGTGATGATTTGATACTCACATATATTGTGAAATGAATACCACAACGGGGATAGTTAACACCTCCATCACCTCACATAATTACCTTTTTTTTTTGTGGTGAGAATATTTAAAATCTATTCTCTTAGCAACTTTCAAGTATATAATACAGAATTGTTTCCTATAATTACCATGCTGTAC